AAGCAGCTGGGCCATCGCTCCAGCATTTGGGAGGTGGAGGTAGGAGCATCAGTTCACAGCCATCAAACCCAGGGCAGGGGCAGTGGCCCTGGGCCGCTCGGGCACAGACCAGACCCTTTGCTATCACTTACATTCCCTGTGGCTCTCATCGGCGGCTCAGGACCCTGACCGGGAACTTCAGTTGCAGACAGGAGCTCCTGCAGTCTATTGACAGGCCGTGCTCATCTGTGCCTGGGGCACCGGAAGCCGCAGCAGAAACCTGCACGGTTGGGTGGCTGCAGCTGCACTGGTGCTCACACTTCATAGATGCTGTACGGCCTGCACCTCGCCCACCACTCTCCAGCTAGGGGTGCACACATGTGACCCTGCCAGTACTCCATGCCCCGGGCCTTGGCTCCACACTCTGCAGGGGCAGGGGACACCACGCGAGTACAGGCGGGGCGTCCCTGTGGTAAAGATCTTCAGAGGCAACCCAACCTATTTGTTTGGAGGGTGTTGAGACAGGGTCTCGGGTGGCCCAAGCTGACCTCCAGCTCCTGGGATTACAGGTGTGCGCCCCTGTGCCCAGCCAAGGGGGAGACCTTGTGCTCTGCTGTGTCCATTTTCCAGTGCCTGAAGCTGAGCTAGGGGCAGGTGCTCTGAGGCTCCTTCCAGGATGTACTGTCTGTCGCCTTGAAATACTATTACTTGTTTGTTTTGAAGACAGTGACTCAGGTATCCCAGGCTGGCCTCCACTTGCTGTGTATCCAAGGGTGACCTTGAAATTTCTGATCCTGGTGTTTCTACTTCCCAGTGTGTTGGGATTACAGGCATCATCACCAGAGAGGCTGCCATCACCAGAGAGGTGGTCATCACCAAGGCCACCACCACCAGACATTCAGCTTATATTGTACTGGGATGGAACCCAGGGCCTTGTGCATGGCAGGCAAGCTCTCTAGCCCTGAGGTACCAGTGTCTCCTCTTCAAGGATGGTCTGTGAGGCAGCAGGGTAATTTTTGGCTCTTCGCCAGCCTACGTGAGGAACCTGTGCTTTTCCCATTTCATGCTCATGAACACAACACAGATTGTGTGTGTGTGTGTGTGTGTGTGTGTGTGCGCGCGTGCGTGTGTGTGTGTGTGGGTGTGTGTGGTGTGGGTGTGTGTGTATGTGTGTGAGTGTGAGTGTGAGTGTGTGTGTGGGGTGTGTGTGAGTGTGTGTGATGTGAGTGTGTGTGTATGTGGGGGAGTGTGTATGTGTGTGAGTGTGTGTGTGGGGTGTGGGTGTGTGTGTGTATGTGTGTGAGTGTGAGTGTGAGTGTGTGTGTGGGGTGTGTGTGAGTGTGTGTGATGTGAGTGTGTGTGTATGTGGGGGAGTGTGTATGTGTGTGAGTGTGTGTGTGGGGTGTGGGTGTGTGTGTGTATGTGTGTGAGTGTGAGTGTGAGTGTGTGTGTGGGGTGTGTGTGAGTGTGTGTGATGTGAGTGTGTGTGTATGTGGGGGAGTGTGTATGTGTGTGAGTGTGTGTGTGGGGTGTGGGTGTGTGTGTGTATGTGTGTGAGTGTGAGTGTGAGTGTGTGTGTGGTGTGTGTGTGAGTGTGTGTGTGGGTGTGTGTGTGAGCGCGGGCGTGTGTGTGTGTGTGTGTGTGTGTGTGAGTGAGTGTGTGTGGTGTGAGTGTGTGTGTGTATGTGTGTGAGTGTGTGTGTGTGGTGTGAGTGTGTGTGTATGTGTGTGAGTGTGTATGTGTGTGAGTGCGGTGTGTGTGGTGTGTGTGTGTGTATGTGTGTGTGTGTGTGTGTGGTGTGTGTGTGTGTGTGTGTGTGGGGTGAGTGTGTGTGTGTGTTAGTGTGTGTGTGTGTGCGTGCGTGCGTGCGTGCGTGCGTGCGTGTGTGTGTGTTGGTCTGCAGTCACATGAGTTGGTTATAGTGGGAGTGTCCTGTGTGTGTCCTGTCATGTTGTCTGGACCTCTCCTCCTCCTCTCCAGTTGGAGAAGGAGGGCTGGTGGCTTCTCACTCACCAGGAGAAGCTGGCAGAGTCTGGGGCAGCAGCTCCCCTGGAGGTCCTGCCTACCCACCAAGGCCCCCAGCTCCTGGTGCCCCCACCTGAGGCCTCCCCTGAGGACATCCTAGTAACAGACTTGGGAGTTGCCTTCATCTTCCACCCCCACAGCACAGCACGGGGCGATATGGCGAGACCCACACAGTGACAAGCAGGAGCGGGCAGGAACAGTGCAATTCCAGCAGAAAGAGGCAGAGATGGGAGAAGCCTAGAGTGACAGACTTAGCACCCTTGTCCCTAAAGGCCCAGTGCTACAACCCTGACCTGGGCCACAGCCACCCCCCTTGGTTCAAGTGAGTTGAGGGTGCTCCCTGCCTGGTGTGCAGAGCCTGGGAGGTGAATTTCAGTCATGGAGGCTGCACAGTGACACCTAAAGGCCTCCTGGATCTCACACCAAACTCTGAGACACCCTAGTCTCCAGGTTGGACCCAGGGGTGTCTGCAAGCCTCTACTCACTGCCAGGGACTCCCTGGTCCACAGCCTCCCTCAGAAGCCAGCCCTGGACCCCTCAGGGCTGGGAAGAGGCCTCATGCCTGTGCCAACACACACGCCCTCTTCCTGGCCCCTGGACAGACAGCACCAGCACCCATGCCCCTGTGCCACGGTCTTTGTGGTTCACAGGGAGACAAACATGAGGCTGCCCCGCAGACACGGCAGAGGAGGAGGAGAGGAATGGGCTTCAGAGTGTCCGACACTAAACCAAGCCTTTGCCCAGGGGTCTATATGCTCCCTGCAAACCCAGCTGCCAGGCAAGGCCTCACCCTTCCTATCAGCCCCCCACCTGAAGGAAGTGATTAACAGAGCAATTAGGGCACAGGTGACTCATCTGGTCACAAGGCGGCCTCCTGGCTGACTCAGCACAGCTGGCCCTCACCAGCCTCCAGCTCAAGGCTCTGAGTCAAGGCCTCCATGGGCCCTGGCCAGGAAGCCTTGGAGAAAACTCCTGGCCCCAAAGTGTCCCTAGCTGATTCCAAGCATCCACCACCTCCCCCACAGTGACGGCTGGGGGTAAATGGGGATCCCACCTCCCCCACAGTGACGGCTGGGGGTAAATGGGGGTCCACCTCCCCCACAGTGACGGCTGGGGGTAAATGGGGGTCCCACCTCCCCCACAGTGACGGCTGGGGGCAAATGGGGATCCCACCTCCCCCACAGTGACGGCTGGGGGTAGATGGGGGTCCCACCTTCCGTGAGCCAGGCTCTGCTGGGGTGGCTGGTGCAGTACCCTATCAAGGATGTGGCCCCTCACCAGGCACCCCCAGATAGCCGCTATGATTGCTGCTTATCACTGTGACTCTTCAGCATGGCGGGGGCCTGGCCCAGCCAGGCCCGGTGGCACTCACCGTAATCCCAGCACTCAGAGGTTTACTCAGCCTCAGAAGATACGGATCCTCAGCTGATACTGGCTTTCAGCTCTGTAACCTGCCGGCCAGAGGTGGGATGGGGGAGTAACCCAGACAAGTTTCTGCAAGTGGGCGCTGGACAAGCTCTCTCCTGTGCACCTGCAGGGGGTGGGGCTCAGAATCGGCCCAGGAGAGGAACAGGGACCTCCTGCACCACAGCACTGCCTGGTGTCCCAGGAAACCAGGATGAAGACCCCTCTGTGCCCAAGTTCCCCTTACCTCTGAATTTAGGACTCAGTGGGTGTCTATACTCTGAGCCTCCCCAGAGGCCACATGGCACCCCTCCAGCCTCTCATGACCAGGGGCCATCTAGTCTGGAGAGACACCCTCCTATACTGTCATAGGTAGTTTCAGGTATCAATTTGACACATCTGGGAAGAGGGACCCTCCTCTGAGGGACTGCCTCCATCACGTTGGCCTGTGGGTATGCTCATGGAGCATTTCTTAATTGCTAATTGACGCCAGAGGGTCCAGCCAGTTGTGGGCAGTGCTATCCTTGGGCAGGTGCTATAGAAGGAAGGTAGCTGAGGGCCCAGAGGAACCACCTCAGCAGCTGGGAGTTCACACTACCTTTGTGGAGGACTGGAGTTTGGTTCCCAACAACCAGATAGGGGCTGTTTGCAACTGTCTGTAACTCCAGCTTCAGGAATTTGACACCCTCTTCTGGACTCTGTGGCCACCTGTTCTCAACAGATGTACATACTATATACATGCACACACGAGCGCGCACGCGCACACACACACACATTCATGCACACATGAGCAAGATTTAAAACTTTTTTTTTATGTGCATTGGTGTTTTGCCATGGGTGTCAGGTTCCCTGGAACTGGAACTACAGACAGTTGTGAGCTGCTGTGTGGGTGCTGGGAATTGGACCAGGGTTCTCTGGAAGAGCAGTCAGTGCTCTTAACCACTGAACCATCTCTCCAGCCCCTAAAATAAATCTTAAAATAAAGGTAGCTGAGAAAAGCAGAGGAGAGACGCACCGCCCCTCCATGGTCTCTGCTTCAGTTCTGGCCTCCAGATTCCTGCCCGGAGCCCCTCTCCTGACTTCTCTCCGCAATGGACAGTGAGCTCTAAGGTGAAATAAACCTTCCCTCCCCAACTTGCTTTTAGCCACTGTTTTATCCCAGCAACAGAAAAGCAAACTGGAACACACACCAACTTCAGGGAACCCTTCCTTGCCTGCTCCCCAGGAGCCCTGCCTGCCAGCTCTCCTGAGCAGGTCCCCACAGTTCAGGGCCCCTTTCCTGGCTTTGTCCCTGAACTGGCTGGGCAGGAACTTCCTGCTGGGAGAATTCCCGGATCCTCCTGGTGAGGACACAGTGTAGCTTGGGAACTCGGGAGGGAAGCTGAAGACTCTCCTTGCTGGCAGGCAGCACCCCCAGGTTACCCCAGGTCTTCCTGCCCCCCCCCCCCCCCCCCCGCCCCTGTGCCCAGAGGTGGCCTCCACACTGGTACTCCGCAGGCACCAATTAGGGACTAGATAGAGACCCTAATAACCTGGCTTGCTCCAGGAGTGAGGAGAGGGTCGGGGTCCAATGACAGACAGCCCAGGAAGCTAAGGTTAAACTAAGTTTTTATTAATAACATCATCTATAGGCGTCTGATGTGTCAGGACAGTGCTGGGCAGGCCCACCACACACACACAGGATGCTACTCATCCCAAAGCCCAGGGCCACAGGGACTTGATGTGTCCCAGGAAGAGACACATGCTGGACTGGGGTCCCAGGGGTGTGGGCACAGTGGGCTCCTGCCGGTGAGGGCCTCACTCTGGAGGAGGCCAGTTCCCCATCTCGTCCATCTCCTCCAGGAGTAGGTGCTGCGGGCAGACAGGGGTGAAGAAAAATATTCCCTGCTCTGCATTCCAGAACTTTCCCACCGACTCTCCCCCAGATCACCCTAGCCACCTCTTCCAGACTTTCCCCAACACCCCAAAGCTGACCAGGCTCGCCGACCCTGAGCCACCTACCCCCATAATGCAGGAATACTTCTCTAACCTCTGGTTCCTTGGAAGCTGGGGACCCAGAAATTCCTCCCTTCCCTTTATGTCTGTCCGGGGGTTCTGCATGTTTTCTTCTGAGTGGAGCTTTGGCTGCCTTACCGCCCACCCCTAGGGTCCCTGGCATTCCCGAAAAGCTAAGGGGCTGTCTCTCTCCCCTATAGCAAGTGGCTCTAAGGGCAGAGGAGGAGAAAATGTAGCCAGGAGAGGATGAGACTTGAAACACCTACTATGTGGAAGGCAGCAGCTGAGGATACACCTCTGACCCCCTAAGGAGAGGACTAGGGGCCCCATTGCACTATCCAGAAACACCAAGTCTCCCAGTCCTGCCAATGCTAGCTCAGGACTGGGAGCCAGGGTGGGGAGGGCAGGCAGACGCACAGGTCCTGGAGGAGGACAGATCCCAGGATCGGAGTGCCTCAGTACGCAGGGAAAATCAAGTGTCACACAGCTTGTGTGGCTAGCGTGTGGGGATAGCGGGCTCCTGGGACTGGGCATGTGGGCAGGCTTAGGGTTTAGGTATCCCCAGTGGGCGGCAGGTGTGAATCCCTGGTGGAGTCAGCCATTGGGTCGTCCCCCCACCCATACTCGACCATCACCCCACCCTGCCCCCCCACTCACACACCCCACACACATACACACACAAACCCATACACACACACACACACACACTCACACACACACTCACACACACACTCACACACACACTCACACACACACTCACACACACACTCACACACACACTCACACACACACTCACACACACACTCACACACACACTCACACACACACTCACACACACACTCACACACACACTCACACACACACTCACACACACACTCACACACACACTCACACACACACTCACACACACACTCACACACACACTCACACACACACTCACACACACACTCACACACACACTCACACACACACTCACACACACACTCACACACACACAAACCCATACACACACACACACAAACCCATACATACACACGCTCACACACACACACACACACACAAACCCATACATACACACACACACACAAACCCATACACACACACACAAACCCATATACACACACACACACAAACCCATACATATACACACACACACTCACACACACACAAACCCATACATACACACACACACACAAACCCATACACACACACACACATACATATAACCCACCACACATACACATGCATGCACCCCACACACACACACCACACACTCAAACACACACACCACACACACACACCACACACTCGAACACACACACCACACACACACACCACACACTCGAACACACATACCACACACTCGAACACACACACCACACACACACACACACACCACACACTCGAACACACACATACAGATACACACCCCACCACACACACACACACACACCCCACCACACACTCAAACACACACACACACAGGCACCCACATACACACCCCACCACACCCACACACATATACAAACCCATACATACACACACACACATACACACACAAACCCATACATACACACACACACATACACACATACACACACAAACCCATACATACACACACACATACATACACAAACCCATACATACATACACACACACACACACACACACACACACACACACATACACACACAAACCCATACATACACACACACACACATACACACACACACACACACACAAACCCATACACACACACATACATATATCCCACCACACATACACATGCATGCACCCCACACACACATAGGGACACACACACACCACCACACACACACTGCACAGACATACACACACACCAGCCCCCTGCACTGAGGAGCCCGTGGAGTCCTGCTGTAGTGTCTCAGCCCAAAGTCAAGATGACACAGCACAATGGTCTGACTGGACTCTGGTTGTGAGCCCGGGACTCTTCCCATTTGTGAACCACAGACCATCAGGGCAAAGAGGCCACTGAGTCATAGGCAGGAATGATGAATGGATGGAAATTGGCATGGATGATGTGTGGTCGCTCCCCAGGGCCTGTGTGCATCTGTAGGCTTTGGTGTGAATGAGAGAACGGTAAGAGAGTCGCATTGTTTAGGTGCTGGCCCATCTTGATAAATTTCCCTGACTGTGATTCCAGCACTGGGAGAGTAAGGCAGGAGAAACAGAAGCCCAAGACCAGCCTCTGCTACATACTGTCAGGCTAGCCTGGGCTACAAGAGACCTTGTCTCAACCAACCAACAAAACAGTGACAATAGTGGTTCAGGTGAGGACTGTTGAAGTGTGTGTGTGTGTGTGTGTGTGTGTGTGTGTACACTACTCCCAGAAAGAAGGTAGTACCTCAGAACCTCCCCTAGAAGAGTCTAGGCAGTGGGGGCTGCACCAGGGGCCAGAGCCATATGAGATAAGGGACCCTCACCCCGCTTTCATCAGTCAGTGGATCAGATGGATACCCAGGCATACCTGGCCATCCACCATGCCGGCCTCCTCCAGCGTGATGTCTGGCCTGGTCAGAAGCTCCCGGCCTTCTGGGCTGCCCACCTTCCAGAGTCGGGACTCTCTTCGCACTGCCAGAATCTTCTTCAGCTCAGACTCCACGAAACCTTTGAGGCAAAGTGATGGGCTGGGTGCTGGGGACAGACGTCTGATTGCCGCTCCTCCTCCTGGCATGTGTCCCCTAACACCATAAGACCCTCAAACGACCAGGTTTCCTGTAATGTTCCTGGAAAGGTACTAGTGCTCTGTGGGCAGCCGCAGGTGGGGGTGGGGAGAGGCTAGTTCCCAGAACACTGGGACTTTCAACTCAAGAAGTTGAGGCAGGAGGATCATGAGATCAAGAATAACTAGACATGGTGAGAATATCTAAAATAATAAAAACAAATCCCTCAAACCCTAAATCCTGTGAGATGCTCAAACGAGTGATTTGAACAGGAGCAGGCAGTTGCAGAACCCTGACTGAAGGCCTGACGGCCAGAGGCGCAGGTACAATGACCTGGGCTTGGGACAGTGTGCTTGTGCTAGGCCCGCAACCAGCAGGGAACTGGTGCCATCTCCAGGGAATTGTGTCTTCGGGGCTGAGTGGAATTGGAGGGTGCTGGCAACCCCCCAGGACTCTGCCTTGCTGGCTGACTGGCTGGTGTGCGGGGGGGGGGGGGGGGGGGGGGGGGGGTGACTTAGTGTGTAGCAGACACGGGGTTTGTGACCCCTGCATTCTTTCTCCGAGTGGAGCAGGCAGAGCCCAGGAAATCTCCACTGCCTGCCCGCCCTCTTCCCAGCTCTGTGATTGGGGCCAGCTGCTGCAAAGCCTTCAGGTACCTGGAGCCAGCCTGCCAGACACAGCCTGTCCCACACCCCTGGGCTCCTCCTCGGTGGGAGGGGGAGGCAGGGCTTGTGGGGAGGGGGGGTGGGTGGGGCAACCTGCCTGAAATGAAGTCCCAGCTCTGCCATCAGCAGCTGTGTGATTTGGGCAAGTTACTCGACTGGCCCCAGTGATGACTGTGTAAACACACACAATACCTTGGGGGTATTCTGGCTGTTGTCGTTTTTAGTTTTTCATTTATCTATTTTTTAATGTGTGTATCTGTGCTCAGGTGCCTATGGAATCCAGAAGAGGGTGTTGGACTCCCTGGAGCTGGAGTCACTGTGCCCTTAACCATGAGCCACCTCTGCAGGCCCAACGACTTTTGCCACGCCATTGCCGCTGAACCAGCTGCTGTTGCCTGATGCCACGCTGAGGTGGCTATAGGGTGGCTACGCAGGAGCCAGGCTTGGAGGTGCCCTCCCCCAGGCGGGAGCTGGGTGGGGTGAGGGGGTGCTTGAGTGGTCCCGCCGGACCCTAGCTAGGCCTGGAGGCCAACCAACAGTGAGGCCATTTAAGGCGGTCACCGTAGGTCTTGTGCCGCCACCTTGTGGTCAAAGCTTGTGTTTCCTCTCTAAGCCCCTGGCGGAAGCCAGATTTTTTCTGACCTGGCAATGTGGGGTTGACACTCTTACCCACTGTGTCTGTGGACCTAAAAGTCTTCTGCAGAGGACACTGGAAGGTGGCGATATGTGGGGCACACAACTTGAGGAAGCTGTCCTCCTCCGCTTCTTCTCTCTCCCCTTTCTCCTCATGGGGCGAGCCTTCCTTCAGAGGAAGCTGAGGCACACCTGGTCTCTGAGCCTGTGGAGGGGATCAGGACTCCAGGCTCCTTGTCCCTTCCTCCCCCAAACCAGGAAACAAGAGGGGACAGTTCCCATAAGGACAAGAGGGAGAGCTTCCCCCGTGGCAAGCCGGAGGCCCTGGGACCCGCCCCACTGACCTTGGTCATGGCTGACTTGTGCAGGTGCTTGTACAAGCCAAGGAGATAGTTCCACGGGGTGGACCCCGCCTTGCAAGAGGCCAATCTGAGGTCTCCTGTGAAGTATCGGTCATTGAGGCCGGCAGCAGGTTGGGGAATGCCAGTCTCGGGGGGTGGCACTCAGAATGGGGTTACCCTCTCTTCTGATTTGTTTTTTACATTTAATTACGTTTTTCAAAATTACATTTTTATGTCTTTATCCTGGGGCGGGGGGAGGCACATACCATGGCAAGTGTACAAGGGGCCTGAGGACAGCTTGTATGAATCTGCTCTCACCTTGTGAGTCCCGGGAACCAAACTCGGGTCCTCAAGCTTGGCCGCAGTCTCCTCTACCTACAGACCCCTCTCACTGTCCCCTCCTCATATCGCTTCTTGTGGATTTGTTTTGTTCTCTGTTCCTGAGATGGCAACTCATGAAGCCCAGCCTCAAACTCTGCTATGTAGCTAAGGCTGGCCTTGAACTCCTGACCTCCCTGACTCTGCCCCCTGGGGTTCCAACTGTGGGCCACTATGCCTAGCTTTGTTGTTGCTTCTCCTGTTGAGAGAGGTACGTCGCTATGAAGCTGGGCAGACCTTGAACTTGGGGCAGTTCTCTTGCCTCCAAGTGCGGGACGGAATGAGTCTGTTCTGTTAACGTAATGCCCACTGGGCACCAGGCCCGGTCAGACACTGCACCTGGCTCTGCCCTGTTTTACTGAACACCTACTGTGTGCAGGGCCTGGATCTAGCCCTTGACAAAGAGCATCTCACTGATGCTTGCAATGTGCCTCAGAGACAGGTGCTATTTGATTTCCATTTTACAGATGAGGAATGTGAGACAGAGGGATTTGGCGTGGAGGAAGTGGGGTTCAGATGCTGTGTCTCACACCCTGCTGGGCTCCCCATCCTAGAGCAGAGGTGTCCATTTCTGCCCCCCCCCCAGCCACCACCACTGCAGCCAGCTATACTTACCAATCTCAATTAGGCAGTGCTCCTCCTCTTCCTCTTTGACGAAGCCCTCAGGGGTGAGGGCCAGTGGTCCTGGGACGCACTGCAGGGATCCTTGTTCTGCCTCCAGGGCCTGGGTAAAGTGTTCCCTAATCCCAAAGCAGTCAGGTCAAGTCAGGGGACACCCGGAGACATGGCCAAGCCCAGTCCACCTTGGGTCTCTCCACAGACTTGCTTGGCCTGCCCTCCTCTCTTCCAGTCCCCTGCTCTGCTCCTGGGGGTCTCTATCAGAGGGGTTTTCCTACCACTGAGGGAGGTAGGAAGTGGGGATCTGGGTACCTTCCACACAGGGAGAGAAAGCCAGAAAGGGAGAGTAAGCGGGCAGGCTGGAAGCGTGGCCTCCAAGGGAGCTGAGAACAGAGGCACCAGCTCCAGCACGCATGCCCAGCGCCGGGTACAACCCCTGTCATCTCTCTTATTATTTGTTGTTTTACTTAGTTTTTCAAGACAGGGTGTCCCTGTGTAGTCCTGGCTGTGCTAGAACTCGCTCTGTAGACCAGGCTGGCTTCAAACTCAGAGATCCGCCTGCCTCTGTCTCCCTTGTGTTGGGATTAAAGTGTGCCACCCTGCCTGGGTATTTTTGCTTTGTTGTGCTGAGGACTAATCCCCGGGCCTGAAGTATGCAGTGCTCTACCTATGAGACACACCCCAGCTCCCTCTTTCATCTTTGGTGCTCTCAACCCACACTCCAACCATCCTCACAAGCCATCATCCGCCGATCCCTCCTTCCTTCCGTGGGCACTACCCCTCAGTTGTGACTTCTATCCACTTGTCGGGACCCTCCCTCCAGCCCTTCCCCCACAGCTTCCACCGGTGGGCCTCCAGCCTGCACCCTGCTCTATCTGGATCATACCTCCCCTCCCAGTAACGGCCCCTCACCTGTCTGAGTCCCCCGAGGCCCCCGAGGCCTCCCCTGCTGGCTCTTCCTCCTTTCCTTTCTTCTCAGACAGGTGACCCAGAACCTCCTTGGTCTCTCTGGTGGGGACCGATGACACCTCTGCACCCTGGGACCTCAGCTTCAGGGCGTCCTTGGAGGTGAGAGTCTGGGATCCCGTGTCCCCAGTGCCCAGCCCACAGGCATCATGCGGCAGCAGGTTTGAGGGGCCTGCAGAGAGGACCTTGGGGACCACGGCCTGTAGCTGTGGCTCCCTCCTCCCACGACCTCCTTTGCGGCCCATCCTTGGGAAGACACCATCCTGCTCCTGGGAGGGGCTGGGCCGGCTCCTGGTCCAGGACTTGTTAGAAACACCCTTGCTCCCAACCAGGTTTCGGAGAAAGCGCATCATGGAGGAGCAGCCCAAGATTCGCGACCTTGACCGAGGGGTCCGAGCCTGGGCCGCCATCCTGAGAGGGACCCTGACTCAGGAAGAAGTCATGGCAGCCAGCCCAGGACCAACTGCTAATAGAAACCTCCAGTTGGAAAGTTCTGGGAGTTCTAGAAGGCCCAGAAGAGGTGGGGGTGGGGGTGGGTGAATAACTGGAGGCAGGGGGAGGGGGGGGCTGGAAGGAGAGGGGGGCAGAGAGCCAGCCAGGCTCTGGTTCAGCAGGCATCAGGGCCAAGTAGAGGCTGGGGGAGGGTGAGAGACACAGAGAAGCGGCACCCACAGGCTGTGTAGGCCTGGCCGTGGCGGGCAGGGGGGCTGGGCGAGTACAGACCCTGAGAACAGGACCCCACACTCCTGTCTCTGGTTTCTTCTGCGCTTGAGGTCGGTCCCCGTAGCCTGGCAGGGTCTAGACGGCGGCAGCACACATTGAGTCTTTCCCCCTCTTGGTTTCTTTCAGGGTGTCAGGTAGCCCAGGCTGGCCTCTATTTCCTGATTCTCCTGCATCACCACCCCCAGCTCCATCCTGGTTTTTGTTGTTGTTTGTGCTTTGTTTTCCAAAACAAAACGGAGAAGATGGGAGATGAGGGCCTGGAGTCAGAGTCGGGAAAGGCAGTGAGGAGGAGGCTCCCCACGCCCCCCCTGGCTGGGACCGGGCTGGCACAGGAGGCTGCAGTCCAGCTGCTTCCAGGCCTGGCCCATAGGACCTTCCTCCCCTGTACATCTGCATCCGGCGGCCATCGAGAGACTTCCTCTAGAGGGAGCTGATCACTGCCGGGAGCTGCAGGCTCCTCTATGGTCACAAAGTCGCAAGGTTTCCTGGGCCAAGAGACAACCCGAGGCGGCTTCCAGACACCATGAATTCACTGACGCCGGTTCCTACAAGTCAGGCCTGAGACCTTGCCCCTGGGACCAGCCACCAGCCCCCTCGGGATCTTTGTCTTCAGACTGCCGAGCCATCTCACATCTGGACCACAGCCGGGCAGGTACGCTGGCAGCCAGTGCCAAATCCCATCCTCCTAATCCTGGCAGCACGGGCCCAGGGTGGGGCAGAAAGCCCCGTCGGGAACCCGCTAAGGAGGGAAGACTTGAAGTTCCCTTGGGTGGTCCTTAAAGCCATGCTAGAGTTCTAATCCAAACAGGGCCAACTTCAGCTAAACGCCAAAAAGCCTCCCTTCTTGCCCAGGCTTTGGTGGTCCTGGATGCCAGGCAAGTGGGACTTTCATTATCTGGAAGGAGGGGAGGGAGAAGGTTAAGGGCAGAGTCAGAAATTTCAGTCAGTCCCCCTTGCTGTCCCAGGACCCCTAGACCAATTCTAGGTGCAGCCTAGCGGTTGGTGGTGGGGAACACACATCATGGCCTCAGCGAGTGGATGGAATGGGAAGTCAGGTCACTTGGATGGGGGCCAGGTGGCCCAGGCCAGCAAGGCTGTGGGGGCCTTTCTGAGAGGCCCCCTGCTCTCAACAGTGAGCCTCCAGGGTGGTTTTCTGGGGATGGAGTTGGCATCCCCTTGCCCTGCCGGCCTGGGATTGCCAAGTTTAAGAACCAGCGCAGCAGGAAGAGCCCCTCTTCCGGAAGGAGCTTCTGGTGGAACATGCCAAGCAGAGGTCTGTCTTAATGAGGCCTGGCTCTCAGAGACAGACGAGGGTCTGCTCCCCCTAATGCCAGCATTGTTGTGGAAGGGCAGCCAGCCCTCCCCAACCCCTTTTCAGAGAGTAACTCAAAAATAGTCCCCAGCCCCAGATGAACAAAGGTGAGTGTGAGTGCCCAGCCCAGGCCAGCAGGGGCTACTGTGCTTGTCCCTGGGAGGGTCTGCATCCCCTCATCTGACAGGAGGGTCACTTCCTGAAGCGATGGAGGGAGTGGACTCTAGAAAGGGGGCAAACTGAAAGTGAAAGGTATTGCTGGCCTCAGGAAATAACTGTCGACACCAACTGGTCAAAGAGGAAACTGGGCTTGGGTGTGGCGCGGTAGAGGGCACCTATTACCAACACACCTGTGTCTGAGGCAGGAGGATCAAAGGGTACGAGACCTTCCTGTCTAGTAAGAATCTAAAACAGAATCAGCACCAAAGTCTAGGGTGGGAGGCGCATGGTTGTGAGGCAGGCTGGGGAGGCTGGGAGAGAGAGGTCCCACAGTGTAGGGGTGTAGTGTGAGGCAGGCTGGGAGAGCGAGGTCCCACAGTGTAGGGATGTGGTGTGAGGCAGGCTGGGGAGGCTGGGAGAGAGAGGTCCCACAGTGTAGGGGTGTAGTGTGAGGCAGGCTGGGAGAGCGAGGTCCCACAGTGTAGGGATGTGGTGTGAGGCAGGCTGGGGAGGCTGGGAGAGAGAGGTCCCACAGTGTAGGGGTGTGGTGTGAGGCAGGCTGGGGAGGCTGGGGATGGTCCCAGCTCACTTCTAGGTTGGTGATAATCGGAAGGAGGGACGCTCTGGGAGCAAGCCATGAAATAAGTGCTGAGATGTAGCCTTGCTGGTAAAATGCATGTCAGCATACTCAGAGTCCTGGGTTTGATCCCCACACCCCTGCAATCCCCACACTCAAACAGTGGAAGCAGGGGGATCATCCTCTGACCCATTCGCAATTTGAGGTCACGGCGGCCTACATGAGACCAGTGAGACAGCTCAGCAGGTGAGGGGCTTGCGGCCAAGTGTGACAACCCAAGTTCTATCCCTGGAACCCACATGATAGAAGGGCAGAGGCCTAAAACTTGCTCTCTGACCTACACACATATTTCATGACACACACACACATAAAAAATATAAATACGTGTTAAAAAACAAAAGGTGATGCTGGTGGTGGCGCACGCCTTTAATCCCAGCACTCGGGAGGCAGAGGCAGGCGGATCTCTGTGAGTTCGAGGCCAGCCTGGTCTACAGGGTGAGTTCAGGTCCAGGACAGCCAGGGCTACACAGAGAAACCTGTCTCGAAAAACAAAACTCTGCAAGACAAATGTCTTTCTCGGACCTGTGGCCCAGGAACTCATTTCTTTCTGCCCTGATTTTCTCAACTTGTGAAACAGATGCTAAGGGTGCTAGCTGCACTGTACCGTGGGAGTCTTTCTTTTCTTCCTTCTTTTCTTTCATTTTTTGAGGCCGATCTCATTATGTTGCCCTGGCTAGCCTGGGACTTCATATGTAGACCAGACTGCCCTGAACTCACCGTCTCCCAAGCGCTAGCATCCAAGCACGGCGCAGCACAACCAGCCAGCAACGGGAATTTTGAACATACGACACAGCAAAATTCTCCTGAGTGCTAGGAGTGTGTGGCCAACTCTTAGAGTATACTGCCAGGCCCTATCAGAAAACAAGTATGCCCTACCAGCCGTGGGGAAGTGGACCCTGGAGAAAGGCCTTCATGGTTGGGAGGCGGCAGGCTGAGGAGAGAGTGGGGAAGCGTCAGAAACAGCAGAAAGGCCCCCTGGTCTGTGAAAGCCGCTTCACCCTATCTAAGAGAAACTGTCAAGGGAATCAAGAGGTTTCATGGCGAGGCTGTGTGGAGGCCTCGACCTCACTCACCTGGTCTCTGCCTGATCTCCTCAACCTCTCTTGTGGTGAGTTCCCATCGCTCTCAGGAGATACCACCAGGCCCCCAGAGGATTGCAAAGTCTTCCTGGCAGTGGGGTAACAGGGTCCCCTCCCTCTCGGGGTTCTCCAGCCAGATGTCCCTGCTCTATCTCTGCTCACTGTCTTCTTTCCTTCCTTTTTTTCTTGAGACAGGGTCTCTCTGTGCAGCCCTAACTGTCCTGGAATTCACTCTGTAGAGATCCACCTGCCTCTGCCTCTGTCTCCCGAGAGCTGGGATTAGTCATGCCGCCATGCCCAGCCCAGCCTCACCTCTGCTTTTTTCTCACCTGCTTCCCCAGGGTGACAGTGCTGCCAACCAAGGCCTGAAAGATGGCGTCTGGACAAGGACCAGGTCCTCCTAGGCAGGACTGTGATGACTCCCCCTCCCCTTCTGGTAAGAGTCCTCCTGCCCCTCACCACCCCATAAGCACAAGAGAGAGAAGGAAGGGCACGGGACTGGTGTGCAGGAGTGTAAGGTTTCTCTGGGCTCAGGGAAGGCAGGTGGAGGCAAGGGAGGGCGGCAGAAGAGCCAGGCCTGGCTGCTGTGCCCCTGTAGTGTGAGAAAGGAGGATGGGACCTGGTATCCCAGTTGGGTTCGTGAACGGGGCGGGGGGGGGGGGGGGGACTGCCCTTTTCCTTTTTTCCAGGGGAGGGGCAGGGGGGCGGCGGGGGGCGCCGGGCGT